TCTATTTCATCCTGGATGGCCCTCCTCTGGAACCCAGACATCGCTACCTCTCTGACCATTGCCAGGAGTGGCTGTTTATCATATTTGTAACCCACACGAGGAATTTATATTTTCCATCCTTACAATTCTAATATCTGTGGCCTGGAAATCTTGGTTCATATAGAGAGAACAATTTTACCACGAGATGTTGGAAGAGTCCCATTTAAGCTCTAGATGCTGCCCAATCACTTCAGGCTCTTCATGCTAAGAGACCAGTTAGGAAGTAAAGGAGTCATCTCTCCTAAAGAGGATAATTGATCATGTTTATCAGGAAAAGATAGGGCTTCTGAATCTAGAAGCATTCAGGAAAAAAGCATTTGATATCCAGGTAATCCACTGGAATATCTTGATATTTATCTGTCCAATTGTGATAGTAAATGGACAAGTATACCAGCCATGGTGTGAAAAGGGCATGGTTACTAGCTCACAACTCTCAGGAATGGGGGTCTACTTAACCTACTAAGTTAGACACCTAGATAAGTAGATGTGCTAAGAGTGAGGGAATCTAGAAGGGGAGTTGAAGAGGGAGACAAGGATTATTAGTAGTGGCTTTGTAACCAGCTGCAGTAGCAAGGGCTGTAGTTGTCTTCCTAACCTTCACAAGTATTCTGACTTGCTGTAGGGGTGAACTAGACTTCAAATTAGAATATACCAAAGGAGAAATTATAGAGCTGAGAAAGAGGAGACTGTTATTACAATAAAAGTGGGAAATACATTTTTTACATTTATTTAAACTAAAAAAGAGAGAAAGTTCAAACATTTTTCACACACTCCCACCCCCTGCCTCTGGTACCACCAATCTGTTTTCTGTATTAATGAGCTTGATTATTTTTCTTTTGTTTCTTGGGGGGTGGGGGATTGTTTTTGTTTAGATTCCACATATAAAAGAGATCATATGGTATTTGTCTTTCTCTGTCTGACTTATTTCACTTAGCATAATGCCCTCAAGGTCCATTCACATTGTCATGAATGGGAAGATTTCAGTCTTTTGCAGCAGATATATATATATATATATATATATATATATATATATATATATATATATATATATATAGTTATTACACAGGTTGTTTCCATATCTTGGCTATTGTAAATAATTTATATGTCTTTCTGAGTTAGTATTTTCATTTTCTTCAGATAAATACACAGAAGTGGAATTGCTGGATCATACAGTAGTTCTATTTTTAATTTTTTGAGGAAACTCCAACTGTTTTCCACAGTGGCTGCATCAGTTTACATCCCACGAACAGTACACAGGGGTTGCCTTTTCTCCACATCCTCACCAACACTTGTTATTTCTTGTCTTTTTGATAATAGATATTTTAACAGGTGTGAGATATCTTACTGTGGTTTTGATTTGCATGTCCATGGTGATTAGTGATGTTAAACATCTTTTCATGTACCTGTTGGCCATCTGTATGTTCTTTGTAAAAGTGTCTATTCAGACCTTCTGCCCATTTTCTAATTGGATTGCTTGTTTTTTTGCTACTGAGTTGTATGAGTTCTTTATATGTTTTGGATATTAGTCCCTTTTCAGATATATGGTTTGGAAATATTTTCTCCCATTCATAGGTTGCCTTTCATTTTGTTGATGGTTTCCTTTTCTGTGAAGAAGCTTTTTAGTATGATGTAGTCCCACTTACTTATTTTTGCTTTTGTTGTCAGAGTCACAAAGTCATTGCCAAGTCCTATGTCGAGGAGCTTACTGCCTATGTTTTCTTCTAGGAGTTTTATGGTTTAAGGTCTTACATTCATGTATTTAATTCATCTTGAGTTAATTTTTGTATACGGTGTAAGATAGCTGTCAAGTTTCATTATTATGCATGTGGCTGTCCAGTTTTCCCAATACCATTTATCGAAGAGGCTCTCCTTTCCCCATTGTATATTCTTGGCTCCTTGGTCATAAATTAATTGACCACATAGTGTGGGTTTATTTCTGGGCTTCCAGTTCTGTTCCATTTATCTATGTATCTGTCTTTATGCCAATACCATACTGTTTTAATAACTGTAGTTTTGTAATGTAGTTTGAAATCAGAAAGTATGATGCCTCCAGCTTTGTTTTTCTTTCTCAAGATTGCTTTGGCTATTTGGGGATTTTTGTGGTTCCATAGAAATTTTAGTACTATTTGTTCTATTTCTTTGAAAAATGCCACTGGAATTTTGATAGGGATTGCATTGATTCTGAAACTCTATTTGTTGGTTTAAATGCCACTAGGGAGAGTTTCTTAAAATCTAGGACCCATATCTTATCCAACTGTGAACTGTGTTATAGGATATGCTGAACTAACTTTTGTTGAACTAAATTTAATTACTGAATCCATTAGAGGGCAGATCCAACAATACCCCTTTAAAAGGCAACCTGCCTTGTTGCATTTGGCTGTGCACTAAATTTCAGAGTAATCAGGCTGTTCTGATGAAGATATTCTTGACTGAGCCCATTTGCCACCACACCCACCAATATCAGTCGAGTGACTCAGCCCCTCCAGGTAACTGGCAAAGAAGCAATGCCATTCATTTCAAAGACCCTGGCTTCCTACCGTCCATCTTTTCTCTTCCTTCTCCCGTTCAACTGGCACACCTGTAATCCCCAATACACTGTGCATGGGAACTGGCCTCTAAGACTAGACGAAAACAGCTCATCCATGCTTTTCACCCAGCAGTAGACTTCTGTTCTTCTGGCCAGACCATAATAGAATCATCATCAACAAATAAAAAGACAGTTTTTTGCTAGATAAGAATGGAGGTTCAAATAAGAGTGAAAGGTAGAGGGAAGAGATATGGGGACATATGTATAACTGATTCACTTTGTTATAAAGCAGAAACTAACACACCATTGTAAAGCAATTATACTCCAATAAAGATGTTTAAAAAAAAAAAAAGAGTGAAAGGTAGAGGAATTAAGAACCTGAAAACTAAGAAATGTGGTGTGGTGAGAGAGAGAAAAATTGTTATTAATGCTGCCCCCTTCCCTTCCCCATCCAGGTTAACTTCAACTCTGTTGAGGCTCAGTCAGCAAATCTTTAGCCATAATCACCACTTCTATGCCACCCCCTACCCTGTATGTAAAGAGCTCTTCTTTATTCTACAGTGGATTGGGAGGAGGGGAATCCAAGCTAAGATATGCTAGAAGAAACATGTGGAGTCTCTCATTTGTGAATAAGCAAGCAATTGCCCTCACTTTAAGGTTGTGTTTCTCAGTACTCTAAACCAAAAATGATGTTATAGATTAAGAGCTGTTAAATGTTAGGAGCATTCTCATGTAGCTCCTCACCAAAGTTTTCAGGCAACAGATACATAACTTGTGGTTCTCTTCCTATTTCAGTAGAGCATCACCTGTAATTTTTTTTTTAACCTTAAAAGCAACGCATGGGCTTCCCTGGTGGCGCAGTGGTTGAGAGTCCGCCTGCCGATACCGGGGACACTGGTTCGTGCCCCGGTCCGGGAGGATCCCACATGCCGCGGAGCGGCTGGGCCTGTGAGCCATAGCTGCTGAGCCTGCGTGTCCGGAGACTGTGCTCCGCAAGGGAGAGGCCGCAACAGTGAGAGGCCCACACCCGCAACAAAAAAAAAAAAAAAAAAAAAAAAAAAGCAACGCATATGTTAATACAAACTCACTTAAAAAGATTAGGAAGAAAAGCAAAGCACTTGGCCTTTAAATCTTCAGAAGTGGGTTTAATGACAGTTTAATGACAGCCTGTTTAATGACAGGTCCAGAACCACATCCCTGTTTTATTATGTTTCATTATTACTGCATAATTTCCTTTATTACCTATGATAAATGGAAATCAAATACTTGCTGAGGTGGGTTTAAATAGGTAAGAGTGCAAACAAAAATAGGTTGTTCAAATATCATGAAACTGGGATCTCAGATTCTTAAAATATATATTTATATTTTTAAGTGAGGTTCCAAGCTATAACTCTCAATCTCAAACTAGCTGTGTGTGAGAGATGTTTTTTCGTTTCTCTTGTTTTGTTTTGTTTTAGGATTGTATCCATAATTCAAAGATGAAAAGAATAAAAAGTACATTCAAAGCAGCACTCTCAGGATTTTTCACTTAGACTGATTTTTGGCTCATTCAAGTAGGAAGATATCCCCCCACCCCCAAATTGCTAAGGTTGATGCAAGACGTGAAGCTAGTGAAGTTCAAGTACCGCCTGGGGATGAATTTCACCAGCATGACAGGTGCAGAGCTGTCATTTTAAGACACCTTAAGAGAGACGAGGTTATTTTAAATGCCTTTCTCTCAGCCTTTTGATTACACAGGGAGCGACTAACTTCTCCTAGTGAAACCAGCTGGCCCGGGACGGAAGGAATAGAAATCCTCTGCTCCGCCTGCTGGAGGGAGGTGATTAAGAGCTGAGTGCACTGATTCGACCTTTCCAAAAAACGTAGCCTAGAATTGCTGCACACCCCGCAGCGAGTTGCGCAGCGGGCTCCGCTCTGCGGTGTCTGGCGCGTGCGGCCGGGCACCTTCTGGGCTGCTCTTCCTGGCCCCTACCCTCGCGGCTGTAACGTCAGCTGCCTGCCAGGCCTCCCAGCCAGCACAGTGGGACATGCCCGAACGGACAGGGGGCGGAGCCTAAGGAGGTGGGAAGCACCCAGCCCGACTGCCCAGCTGGAAACGAACTCAGTCCCTGCCGGCTCTCCACCCCGGCAGAGTGTAGCTCGGCGGTGAGGACGCTGCAACGCGCCCGCACTCTGCGGCCAGAGTGGATTCGCGCGACGTTGCGGCTGCGCGAGGGGCCTTTTCCTGGGAGCCATCCGGGAAAAGCCCGGCTTAACGACAGGCCTTTCGGCCATTGGACGGACCCCCCAAGCTGCAGAAGGACGGCGAAAGGGGACTGAAGCTGAACTGAGCCCTTTCCGAGTGGGGAGAGCCCGCTAGGGCGAGGTGGGAAGGAGGGGTGGGGCGTGTTGCGAAGCTCACGGCCAGCGGTGGATTATCCGGGGCACTCTGCGCCCGGGGGCTGCGAAGTGAGCGAGGAGGACAAGGGCATGCTCAGTGGTGCCGGCGGTGATGCGGGCCTTTCCAACGCCGCGGCGCGGGGGCAAGTGGAGGCCGTGCGGCAGCTCCTGGAAGCCGGTGCTGATCCCAACAGACTCAACCGCTTCGGGAGGCGCCCGATCCAGGTAGCTGGGGGCCCGGGGCCTCGCCGGCAGGGGGCGCACAAACAAGGCACCGCGGCCTCCGTGGGAAGCGGCTGGGGACTGAGATCTCCACCGACTTAGACCTCTGTCTCTCTTGCTCTAGTATTCAGCTCAGGTATAAAGCAGGTTTTCACCCACAAAAAAATTTAAAGAAAGGTATTGGAAACCCCACTACTTGTTTGGTTTTCTTTTTAATGGGGGGGAAAAGACCAATATCCCCTCTCCCATTTCATAAGAGATGCAAGGGATAGGTTCAACTGGAGAGGAAAGGGGAAACGGAGAGGTTATTTGGGGAGGAGAACTGTTTTGTCTTATCTGTTTGTCTTTCAACAAACAGCGATCAGCTTTCAACGATAGAGATAATTAAATTACAAGGTACACAATTTGGACTCAATTTAAGGAATCATACAAAATCACAGCACATGAAAAAAAATTACCCTGAATCTTTAAGCTGTGATGTGAAATTTTGTATTCTTTCCTCATACAGACGAATTGAATACAAAGAAAAAAGACAGGATTCCTCAACCACAATACTTAATTCCTTTTATGTAAGCAGTGTCTCTTGAGTGTTACATAAGAAAAAAATGTGCTTCTATATATTTTTATTTAGTTATACTGAATGCTTGGATTACATAAGCATTGCTGCAGCTTTGTTAAATGGCAAAGGGTCTTCATAAATAGCCTCTTCATTGTTAAAATTCATTTATTCAATATGTTTAACTATTAATCCCACTTTAATTAGTGATAAATATATTTTTTAATTTCTTTTAAATATAAGGTAATGTTTTGTGTTTTATTGTTGACTATTATGGTCATATTCATTCATTTTGAATTCATAGAAAATACTGGAAGAAATGACGGATTGTTTAAAGCAGCAACAATATGTAAAGTAGCTCTTAAAGACTTCAAATTATATTAATTGTAGAAAGAGGTTTGTCGTTTTTAATTCACCATATTCTGAGATATTAAGAACCACTTTTCCCTCTCTTCTCTATGTATGAAATGCCCTTTACTTCACTAATAGAAATCATATCATGGTTTCTAAGGGATGAAAAAGATGTTTTTAATATCCATGAAACAAACAAAAAAATTTTGCATACTATCTTTTGATTCCGTGGTACATTTTAAAACATAAACTCACAAGAACATATAACAACATTTTGTATATTTAATTATCAAAAATTATTTTATTATATATGGAATCTAAAAAAAACATGGTTCTGAACAACCTAGGGGCAGGAAAGGAATAAAGACGCAGTTGCAGAGAATGGACTTGAGGACACGGGGAGGGGGAAGGGGAAGCTGGGACGAAGTGAAAGAGTGGCATGGACATATATACACTACCAAATGTAAAATAGCTAGCTAGTGGGAAGCAGCCACATAGCACAGGGAGATCAGCTCATTGCTTTGGTGCTTTGTGACCACCTAGAGGGGTGGGATAGGGAGGGTGGGAGGGAGACGCAAGAAGGAGGAGATATGGGGATATATGTATATGTATAGCTGACTCACTTTGTTATAAAGCAGAAACTAACACACCATTGTAAAGCAGTTATACTCCAATAAAGATGTTTAAAAAAATAAAATAAAGGAAATCGGAAACTTGAATGGATAAACATTAAAAAAATTGTTTTATTGTTAAAATAAGAAAGTAAATACTTGCATAATGTATATGTACACAAATGGATACTATAGGATTACTGCTCCACAACATCCTTTTTCTAAATTATGCATTGCTCTGATGTGACTGCTAAGATCCAAGCTCTTTTTTAGATAGCGAAATGTTTACTATTCAACATTATAAAATCCTGAACAATGTAAATATAGTGTTTATTTTACATTACCTCAAATATATTATCCTCTAAACGTTAGCCTTTATCTATAGTTAAATATTAAAAGTGGTGAACCATTCATTAAAAACAGTTTGTTTTCCGCATCTTATAAAACTATGCATGACTTTACTTTTTCCCTTTTATCTCCAATTTTGGCTCCAATTGTGGGACTGTATTCCCTTTATGAGCAGAGCCATATATAACAGTGAAAAGCAAACGCCTTCCACAGGGGATTTACTGCAAGAACTAAACAAAGTAAACCTTGTTTTAGACTTAGTTGTTTCTTATTTTCTCTCCTAAAGCACTGCTCTAACTTCTAAAATAAATATATCAGCTGACTGCCTAGTAAATATTTTAGACTGGGATTATGGCTGGGGTAGAGGAAAGAAAAAGCAAAATAATTAAGACTTTAAAAGTCTTTTAACTCCACCCATAAATCATTTAACAAAATAGACTCCCCTGTTTCAATGGAAATTTTAAAGAAATCTCCCACAACGGCGATAAGCAGTTTATCATCAGCTCTTTCTTGTCTTCCCACGTTTGGAGAATAAAATGGAACTAATTAGGGCTGAGTAGAGTATAATTGGGGCTGGGGCCGGGGGTGGGGGGAGATGGTATTGCGTCAGCAAATGAAGCTTAACTATACTCCTGAGTCTTGTAAGAGTCTCTGGATGAGGAATAGGTATTTCTTTGAGAAGACTCTACCTGCCCCCGCCCGGGTCCTGACCGCTCTGCTCTTTCCGGCAGGTCATGATGATGGGCAGCGCCCGCGTGGCCGAGCTGCTGCTGCTCCACGGTGCGGACCCCAACTGCGCGGACCCCGCCACCCTCACCCGACCCGTGCACGACGCCGCGCGGGAGGGCTTCCTGGACACGTTGGTGGCGCTGCACCGAGCCGGGGCGCGGCTGGACGTGCGCGACGCTTGGGGCCGCCTGCCCGTGGACCTGGCTGAGGAGCGGGGCCACCGCGACGTCGCCCGCTACCTGCGCGCGGCCGAGGGAGACTGATGGCGCTTGTACACAGCCGCCCCAAACGACTTTTCTTTTCTCTCCAGTTCCTCACCCCAACTTAGTTCAATGAGGTCTGCCAACGTGGAGCGGCGGAAGTCTTCCTGGGCGACCTGATTCCCCGCAGGGAAGGAGGGGCAGACCGGGAAGAATGTTTTTTTCTTTTTCTCTGGATGCAGCCCTCGACACTCACCGTGAAGTGAAACGCAGAGGTGGGGCAAATGGATTTCCAGCGAGATTTAGGGGCCGAATGTGGAATTCCCAGGTTTATTTTTCAGGGTTTTCTGGCGAAAAGTGGCACGTGAAGAAATACGCGAAGGAACCCAAGCGCTGCGAACCTTCACACAAAAGATGCTGGGGCGGAGTGGGAGGCGGCGGTGACTGGCATTCGGGTGGGAGGCAGGTGATAACGTTCGCCCCACTGACCTTGAAGGACCCCCCCCTGTAAGCCCCTACTTCAGGCGTTAGGCTCTGGGGATATGAGGGCAAAGCTGAAGACGGAGGACCAAGCAATGATGACGGTCGTCGTGGGCTCTTTCTTTACAAGCTGCACGGAGCAGAGCAGGTCACGTGCAAAATGCGCCATACTGGAAGCCTTCGGGACTCGCGCCCAGCTCCACCGGATAGTGACGGAGAAGAGAAGACCCGGAAGCCACCTCGAACTTGCCCGCTTATTCTAAAGTCCCCAGGGCAAGGTGGTTCTGAACAGCTCTCCGAAAGGGGCGCTCGTTTGCTGTTGTTAAATCAAGGCGAGATTCTTGCGGCGTTCCAGCAGTCCGCGCACAGACTGAAGTCGGGGATGGTTGCGAGAGCAACTGTAGGTAGGCCATTAACTGTAACGATTTGTTTAATCTATGAACGGTAGGATACAGAGAGCCCCCTGTAAATTGCCACTTGAAAAGATTTCGTGATCTTCTGGGTGGTTCTTCAGTAGCAGTCTTACTTACGGAGACTAAATAACAAAGTAACTCGTGGCCCTTGGGAAAGAGGTGAGGAAGAACTACAGCTTTTACACGAAGCTATGGCACAGTGGCAACGCCCAGATTACTTTGATCCTTAACCTATTTATTTCTTTGTTAAATTTTCTGTTTCCTTTACTACAGTCTCAGGGGGTCAAACAAGGAAATATTACAAATGTATTTTAGAAGATCCATGCACTTACCCAATAAATTATCTCGGGATATTTCCCAAAGGGTTGCTAAAAGAGTAGATTGAATATAAAACTGTTGAAAATATATGATGATGGCTCGTGGAATGTCTTAATATCTGCTGAACAAACTAAAGGTGTACTGTTTAGGGATTTAATTTCCAGTTCTGTGAGATCCACAGCCATATATATATAATATATATATATTATATATATTATATATATATTTGGCAAATATATATATATATTCGGCAAATATATATATATATATTTGGCAAAACCAAAACATCATACATTATTGGAAAATCAAGTACCACCTGGCTGCACTGAAATAGTAATTTATGAATACATGTAAAAGTAAATTCAGATTTCAAATCCACCTGGTAGGCAGATTTGGTCAATGTGTTTTATCAGCAGCACAAGAAGTATATACTGTTAAATCTGTTTAAGATTTCACTTTGAAGGATACATGCAAGCAAATATAGCTCTATATACATGAGCCCTGCTTCTGGCTCTATTTTGCAATTACAGAAAAATATACATGTTAATTTCTGTATCTAAATCTAAAATATTACCAAGGTTTGTACACATCTTACTACCTGACCTTCACTGCAAGATCTGGAAGTGAAATAAATTCAGAATTCAATAATGTATTCATTTGGCCTCATTTTTATATTTCCTTTTTCAGCCAAGTGAATGGATGATTTACTATGAAAGCAAAATCTATTTAAAATTTCCTGTGTTCTAATGGCTAAAATTAGTAATTTCAGATATAAGGAATGAAATAGATTCAAACAGAGAGCTCAAGATCCATACAGCTCCAAGTGGCTTTGGGAAAGTGTGTTCATAGGAATGCTTTATTATATTTTATTTCTATATTATGACAAAAGCAATATGAATATGGTGTTCAGGACCAAATTAGTTCATTTTATGAAGCTAGGTAACTGACCTTCAGCAAATAAATAAAACTAATTTAACTCAGACCAACCACATTGAGATTCTATATTGTCCTTCCTTTTATGGGAAATGTTAAAAACAAACTACTTGTGTGTTAATATGTAATAGTGAATAGGGATTTTTTTTTTTACCACCTCTGCAAGTATCAATTAGTTTTTAAAAAACAAAAGAAATGCTTATTTTCCTTTTATGCTTTATCAGAGGCTGATTATTTTTATGATAGGGTGTAATTTTTCCAACGTTCAAGACGTTGCCACTCTACCGAAAGAAAAGAAAAGAAAAAATAGCAAGCAGAAGTAGTCATCTTCAAAAATGATAGAAATAATCTTGGAAGCACTCTTGTGGACTGCCTTCTGAAACAAATGCAAAAGCTGGTGTCATCTACAGTCATCTTCTTAGCAGATTAAGAAGTCTGATTTGGTATTTATGTCAGCAGCTAATCATAACCAAAATCTGACATGACTACTAAGTTTTCACTATCAACAAACTATTTCATTATCTTGTGAAAACTTGAAAAATCAATTTTAGGTTGGCATAATTTCACAGTGTTCAATTACCAAGCTTAAAAAGATGGAAACGGGGAGAAATACATAAGAAAATAAGAACATTTTAATTTTAAAAATTACTTGAAGGAGCAACAAGAGTTGAATCACAATACTTTCAATATCTTCTCCTGTTCTATTTATAATCCCAGGGAAGAAAGAGGGAATGAAGCAGAGAGAAATTAGGACTTGATTGGAAGGTAGAAAACGTGGGTTCTCCTATTAGTTCTTCAACTAATTCAATATATGACCTACTAAATCATGTGACATGATTCACCCCAATTTCCTCATCTATAAAAGATGGGAGCTGGACTAGATTACTTTTAAGCTCCCTACCATCACTAAAGTTTTATCGCTTTATAAGTTTGTTTCATACATGACTGTAATGGGGTCTTATATTTTATTAGTAATGATTTTGCCATTTTGCTTGTCTGAGCCAAGAAAAGCTATATAAAGGAATAGAGAGAAGAGATGCATTTTTAAGTTCTGGAGCCCTGGGGGGATCTCCATAAGCACCACCTCCACCAGTTAGTTGAGAAGTTACCAACAAATCTGTGGGAACTAGCACAGAAAAGATGCTTTGCAAAATAAATATGTAGTTTAATTTTAAGCTCTTTCTTACTTTGTCTTACCTCTGATTTTTTTTTCTGTTGCATTTTGCATTTCTCTCATGTGACTCATAGCCACCAAAAGAATTCACTTCTTTAAGTGAGATAAGCAGGTAGACCCAATAAATTTATTAAAATAATGCTGAAGTAGGTGTTTACAAACTAGTGTAAATGCTCTGAAAGAAACAGTATTTTTAAAGTAAACATATAATAAATGGGGTTGGTATAGGAGTCGGAACCAAGAAAAAATGTTGGGGGTATTGGAAGGAATAGAAAGTGCAAAGGCACGAGAATGCTAAAATATGTAGAAAAGTCATTAGAAGATGAATAACTCTCTGTAAATAGCTGCTGTGGAGTTTACAGACCCATTTCTAAAGGTCTGTTCTTTCTGGTTTGTTTCCATTGGATTCCATGAAGTTCTAGGTCCCTAAATGTTGCCTGGGTGATAGTAGGAACCAGCTGGTCAGGGAAGAGCTCTGTATCACCTCAATATCAATACATGTTGATTTATATTACTGTGATTAATATGTAATCCATGCCAGTTACATATTATTTCATTAGTAGCACTGGCTTCAAAGCAGAATTTCCTGTATTACATAATTAACAAAGGGGTGATATATACAAGTTACCATTTCTATAAAGTATTTGTTTCCTTTATGCAAGGAATGCTATTAAAGTCTGAGTGAGGAATTCAAGAGGCCAAAAAGGACTCCTACCATTTGTAAAAGCTGATCCTGAGAAAAGTTTTATAGAAAATCAAGACAGTAGGGAATGAGCAGTTTCCCATTATTTCAGGCCTGGGAATATTTCACAAACCCCACCAGCGTGTAGACCATAGCAGTTTGTTTTGGTTTTATTTGATTAATTCTGTTAAATTACTGATCCTTCTTCCATAAAACACCACCATGCCTCTCCTCCTTCTATTCCTTTTGTTACTTTCTTTTCATCTCATTCTCTGCCCTCCTGAAACGGCTGACTTGTATTATAATTTGAAGTTTGAAATCAATATAAACCAAAGATTTTTCTGGGGAAAAAAAAACTATAAAGATGATACACAGACTGTCTCACAGACATCTACGTTTTATTGGAAATTTACAAAGGAACCCCAAACACCTGTTAATGCCCTTCTCATTCAGAAGCCCCTGACATTAGACCTCCAGTAGATCTATAGAGTCAGTGCTGGCACATAAAATGTTTTACAACGGAGTTAAAGTGAAAACTTTAAGACCAATTACAGTAATTAAACCATGGCTCATTTCCCTTTCAAATTTGGCCTTCTCCCAAAATGCATAATCTATTTGTCTATCTTCTCTTTGGAATACTCTATATTATGAAAGGATTGGTGCTACCTCCTTTGAACCCTTTCTTGTGTGACCTCAGGGTCTCCATTGCATTTTAACCAAACGCCACTCTACCTTCTTCTCACTTTACAAATTTCTTCATCTCCTTGCCTTAGCTGAAAACTGGGTCTCCCTGAGAATTCCACTTTCTTCTGACCAGATAATAGTTACTGAGCTGTGGATAAGAGTGGGAGTCAGAACCAGTCATGAGTGTCTGCTGTTTGGGTGGCTTTCAATATAGTCCTAAACCAGATAGGTAAAGGTTATTCATTGTTCTTCAGTTTTCACTCATCTCATAGTATAAATAATTGCATTTTGTTTTCCTTATCAAATTAAGTTGTAAATAATTTCAGTGTGTGTCATTATTTTATAATATGTTTATAAGAGATAACATATAAACATAAAACAGTAAACATTTTTTCTGTTCACAAAGCCACA